TCGCGCCGCGGCCACACAACTCGACGCCATATAATGTAGGCCAATGCGAACGGCGCGGATAACAGCCGCGAGAGGCAGCGGAGCCGAACGGCACGGCGCAGTCTCTCGAGCTGCTTAATTGGATAGGACATGATGATTAGTCAAAAGCCATAATAGGCCAGCTCTTATGGCATGGCGATTGGTTCCCACCAGCGAACAGAGGGACGGACAGACGGGCGAGCGTTCTCCATTCATGCTTCCGACGGGGTCGGCTTACGCTGCGCACCAGAGCAGATAGCTCGGCGGCAGTGAACTTGCAGCTAGATGCGCGCGCAGCCACTTCTCGGTACAGGAGGGAAACACTTCCTCGCCCTGTTGATCCCCACCCCCGGCCGGTCCCGCGCATCATGCCACACCCTGACGTACACGTCCGCGCTGTGATCGTACTAAAGCGTCAGGAACAACAAAAACACACTCATATCTCCCCCGCCGCCGCGCGTACCTTTCCAGTGGCAAGTATATAGATGGGAGAAGATGTATTCCCCCGTATTCCCCACCCGATCCCCTGGGTCTCCCCTTCTCCCGCCCGATCCCGCCAATAGCGGAGGGCCACGACGGCGGCGATGTCCGAAGAGACGCGATCCCCCGCTGGCTTATCCCACATCCACGCGTACTCCCCCGCTCCTCGTATCACATCCTATACCGTTTTCATTTATCGTTATTTTTTTCTCACGCGAGACGCGAGTCTAACTGTCCTAAAAAAAAAACAATAAGAAAGGGTAGCCGGAAAGGACTGTAAATGCGAACGACAAAATAACGACCGTCACGAAGTAAATCGGCGGGTAAAATAGAGGACGCCATCGTTGAGGACGCCAACACGTTGAGTCCCACATGACCACACGTATGGCCACAATAGCATGCAAATGGGGACCCCCCCTGGGATTCAACGTGTTAATTTTAGATCCCCAGCAGGGAGGGCTATGATTGGGGTGACATGGGATATCATCGGGATCGAGGGAGGGATCATCGCAGTTGCCCAGCGGTGGTGGTGGGCGGAGGGGACCGAAGGGGTCAGGCCGACAACTTGATGATAACCGAGACAAAGGAGGAGGGCCTTTTTAGGGTTGACGACCGCCCTGGCCCTGCACCGGCGCCGCCCCGGGGCCTGTGGCACGGAGGACCAAGTCCAGGCGGGCAGGTCCAGGAACCTCCAGGATCTCCAGGGGAGGAGAGCGGCACGGCCGTCCCGCTCCTGTCCCTCTCACTCAACGTACCCAAGCCGTGATTCTCGTGTCATCCCCCCCTCTCTCTTCGACACACAGACGGAGGAGGGAGGAGGGGAGGGGGAAGAACGATGGAGTGAGCGCAGGGGGAGAAGGGGAAGGAGGAGATACTAGTCAGTAGCCCAGTATCAAAAAGTCTTGCTTCACAATAACAGATTAATAAAATTTATTGTTGCCCCGGTCCTCTTCTTTTGTGACCCCCGGCGATTGAATGGAAAACAGATACGGTTGGTGGGGTTTCCTCCAAAGAAACTCAACTCGCGAGTGTACATACCCGCTTATATTTCTACACATGCCCCCCCCCCCCTGTGGTGTGGTGCGACATCTCCCCTAATTTCCCGGGTGACAAAAAAAAATGCCCTGAAGTGTTTTTGTTGACGTTGGTGTCTGTCTACTACTTTCGAGTCGTTGCTCCTCGCCGTTTTCGTATTCCGTCGAGATATTTTGCCACTGTCCGCACGTGTCATTGGTCTACACGCGCAGTCGTAGATGAGGATTTTTTTTGCGCGCCTCGTGAATGCAGACGTCAGTAGAACTTCGAGAATTCTCGTTCTTCCCTATACGCTTTCCCACATATCCCGCCTTGCGACATCCCATAACGCAACGACGGTGCGAGTGGTTTTTCCCAAATGGGTACATTGAACCACCGCACCCCCATTTGTAATCAAGCGAGAGAAATAGAAAAATCGGGCATCGGGGCGCGATCTGTTTCCGTCCCCGTTACATAAAAGTTTTGTATTGAGGCCGTGACTGATTGGCGGCCCAGGGGTGGGCCGGGCCAAGAAGCGATACAGGCAGCCCATTGTACGGGAAGGGACATTTAAAAATAAAAACCGCTCGCGGAGAGAGTGGTTCACTTTTATTTGGAATTATTATATCGAGTGGCAAGGTCGCGCGGCGGGGCCGGTGCGAAGTTCGCGAAAACATCGAGATGATGATGATGGGATGGGAGAGGTGTGACCAGCCCGCGTCGCCTGCCTGACGCGCGCGCGCGCGGTGTCCGATGCAGAGTCGTGCAGCAAGCAACATCCACCGCCGCTCGGCTGACAGCACAGCAGCGGAAACTAGCCGCTCGGCGTGAAAAATAATGCCAAATGAACCGTGGGAAAATCTTCCGCAATACGCGTTTCACATACGGACCTACGTATAATTTTGCTGGCTAAGATTGAGAACTCACAGCAGCAGTGCTCTCTTGCTGCGGTCCGCGACCCGAGAGGGGAAGAGGGGGAGGGGGAG